AGGCCCAAAGTATGATACAGTATAATGTGTCTGAAGTTTGATAATTTGAGTCTCACCATTTGTGCCTCAGGTGAAAAATCTGGGTTGATTTGTTTGATGATCCATTTGTTTGTTTTCTTACTGAGTGTAAAATTTCAAGTAATTTGTTCATTCATTCATTCATTCATTCATTCATTCATTCATTCATTCATTCATTCATTCATTCATGGGCTCTAACTAATCTCCACACCCCTTGTCCAAGGACGCAGTGTCTGTACAGAATGCATATACTGGATTTTACCATCAGCGTCAAGGAAGCATCACTGTATTCCTAACCTTATGAAAATGCCAATTAAATATTCAGCCTAAAAGGCCCCCATGTGCAGTTCTAAAGCACATATTAAATTTTCCCACCAGTGTCAAGGAAGAACTTTAATCCTAACCTTTCAGAAATGCCATTAGAAATATTTAACATCATACTCTCTCCAAACTCAACCCCAACCCCATGTAAATATAAGGCTACAACTAACTATAAAAAACTATTCTGGATCATATTAAGCACATATTAAATATTCCTCAAGGAAGCCAAACCTTAACACTAACTTCTACAAAATACCAATAGAAAAATTCAACCTTAAAATCATCCTATACTGATTCTGAATCCTAATTTAGTTGTAAAATTACCACTAAATATAAAAAGATTCCCAGGTTTTAAAAGATACATTAAACTATCATAAGCCTTGGGAAAGCCAAATCTTGGCCTAACCTACTCAGAATGACGCAGAAAAGTTTAGGCTAAAAGAACTCATCTAAACTCTAACTTAAAACTTAGACTACCATTGTGCATAAAAAACTCACTCTGGGTGTACTGTATATATTAAATTTTCACATAAATTACAAAGAAACTTAACCCTAATTGTAACCTCCCCAAATGCCAGTACACACATTGAGCCATAAAAATATTCCCATATTCAATCTGAAGACTAACTTAAAGCTGAGACTACCACAAAACACAAGAACAGTCACAAATCCTAACATATACGTAGATTAAATGTTACCATAAAATTCAAGTAAGCCTAAACTTAACCCCAATTTTCCAAAAGAACCCTCCCCCTGAATTTCATGCAGATATTCACTTTTACCCTCAACCTTAAAGAAGCTTAACCCAAAGATGACCCAAATGACCAAAGAAAAAATCAGCATGGAAAATCACGCCAAATGCAGTCTGACTGCTAATCTAACGCTAAGATCGTTGTAAACATAAAATAAATCTTAGATTATAATTAATAAACTTTTACATTCATCCTCAAGGAAGCCAGACCCTAATTCTAATCTGTCCAAAGGGACAATAGGAATATTCAACCTAAAAGTCATCCCATATTCTGTCTGAAATCTAACCTAAACCTAACATCACTAAACATAAAAGGGTTACATTTATGTAGAGAACCTGTATGGGGTAATTGTAAAGTTGGATATCTGTACGGGCATTTGGGAGAGGTTAGAGCTTGTGGCCATTTAAAGACTAGCCAGTGTTTTATGGCTTAAATTTTTGTAATTCATCTGATGAACTTCATTAGCCTCAATGCTTTTTTTTTTTGCTTTTGCTTCCTGTGGATCCAAACTATTTGTCCATCTGTCTGGAAATTATTAATAGGCAGGCTGTAAATGAATTAATTTAATATCTATTCTTTAGAAAAACAGTTCACTGGGACTGGACTAATGAATGGAACTGAGGAGGCGGTCTTCATTCAGTTGCTTTGATCATTTATATTATTTTAAAATACATGAAAACAATCATCTCTTTAGGCTGCTAAAGATAGCTTGAAGTGTATTCTGGATTGTCACTGCTTGATAAGCTGTTGATTCATAAGCCTCTTTCTTTTTCCATTGGGACACCTTCATTAAGTCACCTTCTGCTTTTGCCCAGCACATATGATGAAAAACCTCCCTACTTCAGGTATCTGACTTAGATTCAGCACAACTGAATTTAGTAAAGCTGTTGGTATGGATTTTAACAATGTCAGGATTCTTTCCAGGTATGACGTATACTCTTCAACTTGTTTATAAAGTTAATGGTCTGTTATTTTTAATTACTGCCTTTGTTTTTTCTAGATTTTCACAGCATTACCTCCCTTCACCTTGGGAATCTTTGAACGATCGTGCTCCCAAGACAACATGCTTAGGTTTCCCCAGCTCTACAAAATTACTCAAAATGCTGATGGGTTCAATAGCAGGGTAAGAGGCGCTGTTTACTTAGAGGGAAGGAATCAAAATGACAGAGCTATATTAGCTTAAACCTGAAATTTTAATTTACAGCTGCTATTTCAGATTGTACACCCTGAAATGACTAATCCTTGATGTTCAAAATTATAAATGCTAAGTCTGGTAGTGGTAGTAAATCAGCTTCAAACTACGGATGGTGATCATGGTGTAGTTTGGATGACACACTCAACTGTAGTTTATCTAAAATGAAAGTGGATATTTATGATTTCCTCACAGCCCTAGCAGAAAAGACAGCCTGCATGGTGGAAAGAAAAACAATGTTGACTACCCTTTGTTTTTTGTAAATTCTGATTATGATTGAACGTTACATGCAAAACAACCCTATAAGAAAATACAAATATTATTAACATATACCTAATAAAAAGTAATAACTAAAAGGCTGTGAAATGTTAAGAAATAGACAAAAAAGTATCGTTATAGCTAAATGTTTTTGGTTCCAAAAGATTAATTGAGTAGATGTCAGTGAGTCCTCTTGGGGAAGAATAATCTGCTGCACCATCACTGAAAAGGCCTCTCCCTCATGAACATCCACATTTTGTGGAAAGGGTCAGTTGCAAAAAACCTGCTTTAAAATCTTAATGTATACAAGATGCAGAGTCCTTCAAGGACCATGTCCTTAGCCATGTAAGACTGTCAAACATCAGAAACTGCACAGCTGCAGCATTCTATACTGACACCTCTATCTGGAAATGCCAAATGAGCTCTTATTAAAAGACAATGGATGTCATCAAGCATTAGGCTGAACAAGCCCATGTTAACAGATAACTTATGTAGAAGTCTAGTACATTACTCTTTGGTCAGTGCTGTCAGTGTTTGGGTTCCTGAAATAAAAAATAGTGAAATCTACATAGACACCTACATTTAAGAGTAGGCTGAGCTTCTTTGTATTGAGGAAATACAGTTTACACATTCATGCTTATATCTTTCTTATTCTTGAAGGCAGCTCAACTCTAGGAATAGGTACAAAAGTTATGGTAAAGTTGAGATTAATTTAAGCCTTGAATATTAACTTCTAAGAGCTGGTTCTCATTATATTTTGAGCCATAGCAACAAGCTGTCTACAAAGTTGGCAGTATTTTGGCATCCAGCTGCAACAGGGTACAAAAAATGTCTGCTTCATTTAGCATGTTGAATTGGCAGGAGTTCTGCTTGCTAAGTCCTTCCAAAGCATGATGAATCTCACTGGTGAAGTCCGTGCTTTTCTGCTATAAGTTGAAAAGGTCAGATATAGAGTCCTAAATTAGAATAGGAGCCATATACATTTGTAAGAACCTCCATGCCTGCATATGAATTAATCAGTATCACTGTGTGTTCCATGCAACAAGTTCCAACTGATTTGGTATTTAGTGATGAAATGTTCCCACATTTTTACCTGTTGCCTTTTCACCACTTCCTCTCAAGAGATTCTAGGAAAAATATTGAGATGACTTTATTGTTCCCGTCAGGTTATAGGCTTAAAAAGATATTTCAGGGCGATATGTAGGTAAAGTTACACTTAATATTTTCTTTTCATATTTTGGAGAATTTCCTCCACTCTCAGTTTTCTTGTTTTATTAACCTACTCATGCTAATAAAACTTCAGCAGTTCAGAGTTAAAGGAAGGAAAATGTCTGAGATGCTGCTGCTCATGGAAGTCTAAGATTTCAAAAGATCTCATTATTTTATGTGGGATCTAATGAACTTAAAATAGTGTAAGAAACTATGAAGGTTGGATTTTGTTTGATTGCATATATCTTTCAGTCATATTATTAAGGAAAGAAAGAGCAAACAGGATTGTTTTGAGTTGTTACTCTGCTGAATATCTGAATTAGTTTCCTGGTCATCATAATTTTCCATAGCAATGTTTGTTTTAGAATGTATTCAAAAGTCAGATGACAAAGATCAATGTGATTAAAAACATTTCAGAATGTGGTCAATGGCTTTCAAAACTCAGCAGATTTAGGAAATAAAATTTTCATCACTGCAACAAGGTAAAAGCTAAGTTCTCTCTCTCTTTAGATTTCAAGGAAACTTTTGCTTGGTGAAATATAAGGCAGATGACAGCTTTTGAGAAGGAATGTTTGTCAGAACGTGGGGACAGAATAAAAGAGTTAAATGCCACACAAAAGAGAGAGAATGGAGACGGAGGGAAACAAGGACAAATGCATTAGTTCACCCCACCCCTGTTGCTATTTTGCTGTCCATTATTGTCTGCAGAGGAAAATTGCCTTTCTGTAGAGATTCAACATTAAAAGAGAATATCTGTAGCTCAGGGTTGAACTGAGAAGTCCTTGGTGTTCTCTGAGCTTGGTTGTTTGCTTGCAGACATTTCATTACCCGACTAGGTAATATCTTCAGTGCTACAGAACACCAAGGACTCCACAGATTCCACATCAGTTTTCAGAATCTCAGTTTTCTGATATATTAGGGTTCTGATATATTAGGAAGTGCCCTCTCCAGACACTGCCCTCCATGTGTAGAAAAGAGAAAGGTAAGGTGCCCATCCTACAATCACCTGCTCACACAAAGAGTTCATGAATGAGTAGAATATCTGAATGTGTCACAGGGAAGTTGAAAAATCCAACCCTACCTCTTTCTAATAATATAACACTGAACATACTGTACCTTGGTTTCTGCAGTCCTTGACTACCTGAGAATAAATCATTTTTAAAAAAGGATGGTTCCTAGTCCAAAAGGATTCCCAAACCCTAGATGAGTGCTACTCAGATGGATAGGTAGGAGATTTTGTGGGGCAGCTTGGGAACTGCCTAGAGTTCTCTGTGCTATTTGTATAACCAACTCCCCCCCACCTCCCACTATTTATTGCATCCATACATTTAATGCTAAATTTACTCAGTGCTGAATTTTCATGGCTTTCTTGGGTGATTTATATGAACAAACACCCAGAAAATGAGAAAACACAGCAGAGAATAGAAAATGGATACTTGAGGTATGGCTTTCCCCCACTTAAAACTCAATTCCAGGAAACACAAAGGCATATTTCATTATAGTCTCTGGATTGTTACATGTAAAAACATTTTTAAAAAAGAAATCCGAAACATGGGAAGTATCATTAAATGGATTTTGCTGCGTACATTTTTCAAAACTTAACAAAGATAGGGATGGCTTTGTCGATTTAGTATAGCTGTATTTTCATTCTGTTTTTGTTTTCTATTTGTGTGTGTGTGTGTGTGTGTGTGTGTGTGTGGTATCAAGCCAGATTTTGCACTGAAAGAAAATACTTTCTGGTAAAAATTGTTCACTTATTTGATGGGACTTAATGAATCGTTTGATGGGACTTTAACAGTGTTGGAGAGTTTGATCACTCTCCTGACTTTCTTGTTTGTTTTTCCTTTAGGTGTTCTGGGGTCATTGCATCAATGCCTTGATCCACTCCATCATTCTTTTTTGGCTTCCACTGAAAGCACTAGAACATGGTAAATAAATGCTTTGTTCTTTCCCACATGTTAAGTAAGTAATCTTCAACCTTTCTAAGGCAGCACCTTTATATTTGGGGTCAAAACATGTTCTTTGGAAATTAATCATTGCAGACAGACCAACAGCTTTCTAACATTTATCAACAATGACCTTCCAAATCCTCCCTTTCTGCATGCCGTCGTTAATAGATAGCAATTCACATCCTTTATAAATCACAGTGTCCATTCATGAAGCTATGTTTATCTAAAACTGATTTACACTTTTTAAAAAAGCAAGTAAATTGGTTTTATGCAGTTTCCCTTACTGTATGTCTGTTCATTTGGTTTGGGCTAATAAAAAGAGGAATTTGACTAAATATTTACTTACCTGACCTGGAACTTAAAGAGAATCATTTTTGTGAGATGGCTTCTGCCCAACTTTGTTTTTCCAAATGTTCTGCTGATTCTGCTGCATTAGGGCTGTCAGATCTGGGCTGCAAAAATCCAGATGACTACTAGATAGAAGCAAAGTGTTAGAGTTTGTTTGTTTGGTAGGTCTTATCATCAAATTCATTATTAGATCAAAACTTACTGATTTTAGAACACCATCTTCAGACGCACTTCAGAATATTTAAATTGGAACTGGTAAAGATTTTTATAGACCACTTCCAGATGAAAACGCTTCGTTGCTCTTGTTATTTAGGCAGAAAAGATTAGAGAATTTCTATCCGTATTTAAAGAAATCCTTTAACCATTGAAATGAAAACTGTCATTAACCCATATATAAGGGTATGTCCTTGAAACATCTCTGCAATGAGTAGAGACTTTAGCAGCCTTGGAAGTACATGTTTGCAATGTATCCTGGCCATCTCTGTCAATTGTTGGAAGCTGATTCAGAAGGAATCTTTGCAAAATCATAGAATACTAAAAGCACAAGACTGTATGTCAAAGTAAAATATATGGACAAAGCAGTGACATTGATACAAACTATCAGGATATAATTGATTTCTCCATGACACTTTCACAAACAATGTGCTCGGAATACCTGAAATATGACAAATCATTGGATTTCCAATATGTCCCCAATGCAAAGCCAGCTGGGTGACCTTGGGCCAGTCACTCTCTCTCAGTCCCAGGAAACAGGCAAGGGCAAACTGCTTCCGAAATCTTGCCAAGAAAACTGCAGGGACCTGTCCGGGCAGCCACCAGGAATCAAGACTGACTCAAAGGCACACACACACACACACACACAAAAGATAGTGACTTGCTGGAAACAATGAATTATACGTATGTAAGATATAAATACAACTTTTAAAAAGGAAAGTTAATTCCTGTAAACAAAGCAGTAAAACTGTTTATGTTGCCCAGGTGACAGGTTACTGGCATGGAGATTCTCTGCAATAGTGGACTATCACTTGGGCTAGATATGAATGTGTCTAGTAGTGTTTTGGGAGGGTAATAGACATGTGTCAACCCCAGGTTAATAGGTTATTGGCACAGTGGAGGGGCATTGGAAAACAGGAGGGAACACTGAGACCATGCAAGCTGGACTCTGTCCTTCACCCTCTTCCCAGGTGCCCTTTTTGATACATTGCTATGAAGATCAAAAGCAAGATCGCTTTGAAAACAGATGCCTACCAGCGCTCCTGCACGTGCAATTAGAGTAGCCCAGAAAGTGATTTTTATGGAGGTCTTGCCGCTATTGCTGCTTTTCTGTTTTAAAGAGAACTTTTTGCATTTAAAGGAAGGCCTAGCACTCCCTCTAGCATTTCTCACAAGAGAGATAGCACATTGTAATAAGTAGCTTGTGTAGGGTCTGACTTGAGCTTTGGACAGCACTAGCTAGCATTATGCCTTCAGAAGCCAAGTGTCCTGTCAGTCAGCAGCACAAGCCAAAATGGCCCCAGAGGCTGTGTGTGGGGTGACCAGAAGGGAGAGGGTGTATATGCTGCAGCCAAAAGCGATCAAGAGGTGCTGGGCTCATTCCAGCCCCCGATGACATCATTACCATAGTCACCACAAACCATGCATAGAGCACAGCTTGTGCAGGAGAGAGGAAAACACCACTTGGATCAGCTAAATATGACATTAGGTGGCTGACTCCTTCTGGGAATGAAATGAAGACAATGTCATGAGGTCTGGCCCATAAAGAAGGGGTAGCAAGGCCTAACCTAATTGCTGTTAGGGAGACATGGAAATCCCTTTGCTAAACATCGTGTCTTGTGCAAAAGTTCTCTTTTTCTCTGCCTCATTTGTAGGGTAAGCCTCATGCCATTTTTTGAGTCCACTGGGAATGTGTAATATTTTTTATCCTGCTGTGACTTTATTTTTATTTTTAATGTGCCTCTATCTGTAATTCTGGTCTGTGACCATAATAAAAAATATGTCCTGTTCTGTTCTACAGAGAGTTTTGACTGCTAAAGCTCTGTATAAAGGCTACATTAAAAATTGTATGTTATATAATTACTGATGTGAATAAAGCATTAGTAAATATTCAAATTAAGTTAGTGATATAGTGCCTTCTTGCCCCCCCCCCCCCCCCATTTTGGGTATATAGCTTACTACTTAAGGCAACAGGTGACTAGTCTATCCTGAGCTAATGTTTTTATTTTATATCTCCCTCACCTACATTGATGTACAATTCCTGGGCTGCCATATTGGAACTCATGAATCTTTTTGGTTGCATGATTCTTCTGGATCATAACCCATTTGAACTAAGTGGGGAATATCTATGGCAGCAATGCATTCTCTGTCTCAGAGTATCTTTTTCTTTTACCCAGCAGAAGTAAATAGGGTGACGCTTAGCATTGCTAAGTTTGTTACCTTGATATATTAAATTGGCATATGGTTTTTGTACAATCCTACAGAGGGATTGGATGTCAAGTGTTGGATGTCAGTCATTTTAGTCATTAATTTTACTGAGTACTTTAAAGATATCTGTTATCTGTGTGGGACAAGACAGATTTTTTAATATAACATTTGGATGCAAAATTCTTTTTACATCAAGGGAAATCAAATGAAAATAAACAGAGCAGGAATATCTGGAAGTGGTACAGAGTTACCAAGATGATGTGGTAACCAGAAGTTTTCATCCCTGATGTTTGATTATTATTATCATTGACCCCTTACTTTGATTATTTGTTCTTGGCAGAAATTTTTGGCCTTTTCAATTCTTAAAGGGGAAGTATGTGGTTGCACATGTGTGTATATTATTTTTAATTTGTGGTTCAGCATTGGCTACTTATTACACTATTTGTTTTCAGCGTGCTTTTATTTAAAGAGCTCTGAGAAACCTGTTGTGCAAATTTCACAATAGATAACTGTCTAAAATTTGTCAAGAAACAAACACATTATGGACTCTTTCTGAATCTCTCCTAGTCATTTGGTTACCTCTCTTTACATTTGCAAAAAAAATGGCATTAAAGTTGCACAAATTAAATGTAATAAAAATGATCTATCCCTCTGTTTTTTACACTGAGCCTCCTGTTTAGTTTAAGATATTTGAGCATTGAATTTAAGTAAGTAGTATCCTACACTAACTTACTTGGTTATAAGCCACATTGGATTCAGTGGGACTTACATTTGAATAACTACATATAGGATTACACTGTATTTGCATTTTCATTGATGGTACTGTTTGCAAATCTTGCTTTAAATACCCTTTTATGGAAAAAGAATCCTTGACTGAACAAGGTATCTAATTTTTAAAAATTATTTATTTGTAGATGCAGTATTTACAAGTGGCCAGGGTGTTGACTACCTGTTTGTTGGAAATATTGTTTATACGGTAAGCTAATACCTAAAAAGTGAAGCATTACCTATTGTGGGTGATATATCTTTAAATCTGATTGACTTCAATTATAGATGCATTTCCTGTGGTTGGGCATAATAAATAAGTAAATAAATAGTGCATAATGGGCTTAGGGTTGCCATTATTATGCCATAGAAAGTTCTGCCTATTGAATTTCTCAAACTGTGCAGCTGTTAAAGGACACAGAATTTTGCCAGAGGAACTTATGGCAACCTGTTGTTGGAAGGTAATTGACACTGGGGGCACTGAGAAAGAGATTCTTGGGTGGGCCTATTGGGAATATATGAGAATTTATATACAGATACTTCTGATTTGTGATTGAGTGAACTGTTGTGGTTCTTATCATGGTTCCAATAAATTGAGTCCTGGCAGTCACACACATCCTAGTAGAAACTACCCATATGCCATGTTATGTGGGTATAGGGGACCAGAATGTATAGAATCAATTTGTTCTGATTCCACTAGGCCTGTCATAAAGCAGATTATAGATGCATACTCTGCTTGGCTAAATATTTGCGAAACTAAATATTTCCTAGTGCTAAGCATGTAGTTGTGCTGTATAATAATAGCTAGCCATAATTGTTAGACACTACAGTCAGGACAGAGGTGTGGGAGTATGTGTGTATGAATATGTGTATCATTTCTGTATTTCTGTACTTCTGAAATGTGCTAAATATTACATTTAGCAAGAAAGCACATTGAATTTCTACTCTTTTGGGTCATGCTTTTGCAATGTACTATGCCCTTTACCAAAGGAAAACAAGAGAGAATGGGAAATGTATGCTGGAATTCAAGATTTTCTTCTACTTTTTTACTGCAGTATGTTGTGGTGACAGTCTGTTTGAAAGCTGGCTTAGAAACTACGGCATGGACAAGAGTGAGTATAATATCAAGTCAATAGAAGGAAAGACTGTATTTCAAATTTGTTTGCTACCTAGCATTGAATGGCAATTTTATCCAGAAGAAAAATTCATCAATTCAATTTTTAGAATTCAGACCTAAAATAACATGAGGATAAAGATGCAGCCTTTAGATAGGGATGTTAGACAGCCACTGGGGGCTCATAGACATTTGAAGAATTTCATGGAGCTATGATCCAGTAAAAACAGCATGATTATTAATAAACCTTCGCATCTTTTCTAGTATTTGACAATTCAAATGGGAAAGATATAGATCACAGAAATGACAAGATGGAATTGCTCTGCCTGGAAATGGTCTTGCCTGGAAAGTAACTGAAGAAAAAGGGCCCCAGCTGATACATGACAGCTTCCCTCCTCCCCACATACACACAAATTTATCTTGCCAAAGGCCCAAAACTCTGGAATCCTGTGTTTATGGCAATAACTGGAAAATGGTTACTATATTTGTATCTGGGAAAAAGAATCTCGCACCCTTGGTCAGTTATCCACTTCAAATCTTCTCAACTGCAATTCCCATCAGTCCCAGCCAGCATAACCAATGGCAATACTAGCTGGAGTTGACATGGTTAGGGTTGTTGGTCTTTCCAAACTGTGAAAAAACATGCCAGAGTAACAACTGCTGCAGGGTTTTCCTTTTTAAAAAACTTGGTTGAATGATTCATAGAATGATAGAATCACAGGGTTGGAAGAGACCTTGGCGGTCTTTTGGCCTAGCCCCCCCCACCTGGGGCAGAAATCCTCAGACCATCCCAGACAAACTGCTGTCCACTCTTGCTTGAGGACCTCCAGTGATACAGCACACATAATTCCAGGAGACAAGCCGTTCCACTGCTTGAAAGTTCTCATGATCAAGAAATTCATCTTTATTTCAAGTTTGGATCTCTCTCTGTGAAGCTCCCACCCACTGGTTCTTGTCCTATCCTCAGGTGCTCTGGAGAATAAATCTACACCCTCTACCCAGCCTTTCAGAGTATTGAAGACTGCTGTCAGGTGTCTCCTTAGCCTTCTCTTCTTTAGGCTAAACGTACCAAGTCCCTTCACTGTTGTTTGTGGTGTTTAGCCTCCAAGTCCTTCACTATCTCTGTTGCTCATCTGCACTTCCTGCACTCTGGAGTCACGTTGAGGTTTTTTACTGTCTTGTTTTATTTTATGGCAGTTTGTTTGTGAAACTATTTCCATGAAAGATTCTTTTACTACTTTTAATACTCTACTATGGAATCCTTTGGGAAGCAGAGCAGGCCTATCAGTCTCTATGGATGGAAAACAGATCATTGACAAAAACAAAAATAAAAGATCACAAGTTTATATGCTGGAGCTGAATTTGGTAGTTATGTGGCAACTTTTAAATCCTTCATTGCAAACATGCGTATCTTTTTCATCTCCATCTCATTCCTAATTTTTCAGTCTTTATCTACATCTTCAGTTGAATGGATAATAAGAATATAGATCTTACTGCCATATCTGGCCACATTTCAATTTTATCAATTATTATAAGTAAAAGTTGTTCTATTTTTCACAATGGTATTTAAATGCATCTTTACCTTTTTTTATAAAACATATGAAACCAGATTTTGAAGATTTTGTGTTATAGATATTTTGTAAATTTGAGGTGTTCTGGGGTGCATTTAAAGCATATACAGTATTTGTGGTTGTAGTGGAAGAAGAATCATGGAAGAATAGTAAAAAATCTAAATAAGAAAATTTGGAAAATAACATTTATGAACATTTAAACACATAAGCAAGACAAGCTACACTGGAAGTATGCAGTGGCTTCAGGTCCATTAAACTGGAACTTAATATGATAATAATACTCATTGAGGCGTATTAAAGAAAAGTATTGAGAGCAAAAAAGAAAGTCCTGGTAAATTACTGACTTCTTGATGGAAACAGTGACAATCGCTTAATATTCTCTAAAGTGTATATGGAATATGACTGAATAAAACATCATTATTTTACTTTTATATGTTATATATTAATTTAAAAATCATGGAAGGAGAAATTAATATTTTAAAAATAATATAGATTTTCTGAAGATCACACATGAATGTGCAGCTTATTTTGACTTTTTCTTCTTATATCACTCAAGGTTTATAATAATGTTTTTTTAAATAATGTTCTTCCTACTTTTAATGAGGGTTTCGTAATGATGAATTTGAATGCCGGTAAAGATGCTATTGAATGTGCAAGTTACTGCTCAGTTTCTTTGTGAAATGTTGATGCAAAACTTCTGATAGCAACTCTATCACACAGAATACAGATAATATTACTTTTAATTGTTCATCTTGTGCAGTGTGGTTTTCTAAAACAGCATCAATCCTTGGACAATATTAGACTGCTGACTGATATTTGAAATACACATTCAGAAAAACTCAACTCAGCAGTGCAGGTATTGTTGGATGAGGAAAAGGATTTTGATATGGTGCAGTGAAAATTTTTGGAGCAAGTTTCAGCCAAACAGAAATTTCCATCTTTTTTTATTAATTGAATTAACTGAGTACCTGGAGTTGAACTCAACTGTTATTACAGGTACCCCTTGTTTAGTGACTGCCACATACAGCGACCGTTCACAGTTACGATGGTGATAAAAAGTAACTTCGTGATCAATCCTCACATTTACAACTTTACAAGATCCTTGCAGGTCTTCAAAGCAAAGAAAAGCTGAAGTAAGATCAAAAGCACAGTTACTGTTTCACTTATTGACCAAGTTGCCGGTCCCAATTGTGGTCACTAAATGAGGACTACCTGTATATGCTGATGAAATGCTATGCATTTGGGGTAAATTTTGCTGAATATCAAAACTTATGAAGATAATACAACAATATAGTAAAATCTCAGGCTATTCAGTTAATTGGAGGAAGTTTTATATATTTATTATAAGCTTCAGTGTATTTATGGACATTTGTTAAAGTTGGGGTTGTACATCTTTTTTTTCTTCATTCTCTTAAATATCTGGGAATAATTATTTTAAGGAACATTTCTTCCTTTGTAGATATAAATATATTAATTTTAAATCAGATTAGTACTGATATAAATAGTTTAAAATTGAAGGGAGCTTAAGGAGAAAGATAAATATTGTAAAAATGAACATTACCTGAAGATTAATTTGTATAGTTAGAGGTATTCCTATGTTGATACCTTTAAAGTATTTTAAGCAGGTTGAAAAGTTATTAAGAAAGTTTTTACAGGAAAGCCAAATGCTTAGATTTTCCAAATTACTGTTATCATATGATGATGGAGATTTTAACTTTCCTGATTTTCAACTTTATCATTGAGCATATATTTTGACATAATTGATCCCATTGGTATTATGGCAGGGACTTAGTTTTCTTTTTAGTCATAAACTATATAATGTTTCCAGCACTGAGGGCTGCAAGATTTATTTGGAAGTTTTTTGGACAAAAGTATAATTTTGACCTTTGTTCGCATTATAAATATACATTTGGATAATCCTAGTTTGAAAACCTAAGGTAAATTCTTTTTTTTTAAGGATTAATAGTTTTATTAATACTTTAGAATAGCTTATTGCTGAAAAAGTTTTAAACCTTTCGAATTGTTACAAGAAGAATTGGGATTGTCAAAAATTGTTGAACAGCAGTATTAGCAGTATGTCCATTTAAAGCACCTTTGCATTTCACATTTTGATCCAGATGTGTAAGCAGCTTCTGATACTACTGAATTAGTATCAGGATTGAAACACATGTTGGTTGATTAGTAGTAGATATTATTTGTAAAAACTTTGGAACAAAGAGTTGGAATACCACAATTTAATGAATTAATGGTTAAGGGTTTAAAAGATATATTTCATCTTTTAAAATTTATAAATCTTTATATTTTAACAAATATTTTTATGATTTTAAGGTGTATTAATTTAATGACATTTTTTCATATTTAATTGATACTTCAATTTTTTAAAAAAATGCTGGTTGTCAACTTTATTATGCTGGAAGTATAAAATGATTTAGGGGATATTTGCATACATGAAGTGGACTTGTCACAGTACTGTTTTGGCTTCATATTCATAAATGTATTAATATATATATATAACAATAATAATAATATAGTTAATATAGTAAGAATAATATTTAAATGAAATGTTGAAGTATATTTGTAAACCCAATGATGATGAGCTTCCAGATTAATTAAGTCTAACAATTAATTAAATGAATTAACAAACACCATATAGAATCTTCAGCAGTCTTACCTGAAAAATAATAAACAGCAGTGTGTTTCAAAGAGAGACCAATCAAATATTAGCTCCTTTGGAATTCTTCAAATCAGATCAACTGCAAATTCACTTGGATGAAGAACCAATCAGAAACTGGCTTTCAAGAATTCTAATGGCATGGTCCAATTAGAAATTATTTGTGTTATAAATATAAGAGCTCATCAGTTCCTGCTCAGTTGCCTGTGAGTTGCTAAGAAGTGTGCTACAAAGTAGTCCATCTTTACCTCTGAAGATACCATCCACAGTTGCTGGCAAAACATCAATAATTAGACCACAGCCTATTAGCCTGGAAGCTCATCACCATTTTGTGAGGAAGTGAAGCTGGAATTCCTATCCGCTGTTTGGGAAAAACAGCTGCAGCCAGGCACAAACACTTTCCACCTCCATTTCTCCAAGGCTCAGCACAGCTCATGCTTTTTCCCAAAAACATGAGCATTTCCCAGCCCCAGAAACTTGAGAAGAGATGGGCTCATTCATTCATTCATTCATTTCCCTTCCCACTCACAGTTTACTCACAAGCATCCACCCTGGTGTTCCAGCTGCCTGGAATTGAGCCACACCCTAAGTGTGGTTTGCCCAGACCTTAGAAAACAAAGAAACCTCCTCACACAAATATAATTGCTAATCTGGTACTGTTCATGTGTGTTGGACTGCAGTTCCCATGTCAGTTACCAGGGAGCGTTGGGTTGTTTATAACATCTAGAGAGCCCTAAGTTGTCACCCCCTGAATCACATTGTCAGAATTTGCAGAATTGAAAGTTGTCTGTGAAAATTTCATTTGTCTGATGATGAGCTGTATTATATGTTTTAGCATTTTTCTATTATTATCATGATTGAGTTTGAAAGAACTATTTCAGGAAGAGGTTCAAAGTTCCCAAATACTCTTAGGAATTAATTTACTTTATGTATTCAAGATATTGGTCACTGTATAGTAGCTATTCTCTGATGGCTTACAGGAATTACAGGAAACAGTATTACGAAAAAAATCCCTATAAAGTAAAGCTACTAATTTACTATTAAATTAATTAGCAATCATAATACATAAAACATTTGCTTAGCCATAATCACTTAAGGGAGAGAAACTGACAGTTTCAGATGTATTCTGCTGCTTTTTTCTGATTTGTTATTTTAGAGTGATTTTCTACCTTTTTACAAATCCATATCTTTTTATATTAATATTTCCATATTAATTTTCATACTGTTTGTCTAATTTGTAATATAATCCCTGCTAGTCTTTACATGCAATCTGTCCCCAGTTTAAGTTCTCCTCATACTATTTTTTTCATTTTCCTCATGTTCTTCTGTGTCCTTTCTGCTGCTTCTTGGCATTTGTCTTTGTACCAAACAAGTGAATTTTCTTCACTGCATGAATGTGCTTCCTTGGATCTACATAATGAATTTGAAGGAAACTATAATGCTACATTAAGTGCTATGTGAGACCACAACTATAATTTTGTCTGGTAGTGGAACATAGCAGTACCACAGCAATTCTAAGGAATCTTGGCCAGCTTTGGAGGTCTTCTACAAGATTAGTCTGTCTCACATCCTTCCAGTTTAAAATACTCCCAAGATTGATCCAGGCTCTTTTGACAATTTGGAGATCTAATTTGTATATGAAGAAACTATGGGCACAGACAGGTCTATATGTTTGCATGTCTGGAACTCACAAAGAGTTATCAGCCAATCAGTTCTTGGTGTGAAACCTTGACATTTCTGATGACTCACTGACATTTCTTGACATTTGCTAAGATGAAATGACATTTCCTTATTGAACAATAAAACAGCACTGACCCAAGGATAGATTTGCAAACACATGATGATGGTGGTGGTGGTGGTGGTGATGATGATATGCAATCAGCAGTGGGTTATATGTTACCTCAATGTCAGGACTCCACTGTTGTTTGCAAGACTCCTTTTCCCCAATTTGAAATGTGGTATGTGTTTATTTGCTTGCTTCCTTTTTGTTATTCCTTTAGTGTTTCGATGTATTGTTTTTAATCCTCTCGCTGGCAAGTTTTGTAAGCTGCTCAGTGACTTCATGGATTAGAACTATATATAAGCCTTAATAAACAAACCAACTAGGAAGTACAGCTTGCTTACAGCTGTACTGCTATCTATCTATCTATCTATCTATCTATCTATCTATCTATCTATCTATCTATCTATCTATCTATCTTCACAGACTTGCTGCCATCCTTTACCAAACACAATCTATTCTTCCCAGGCCAGGGTGCAGAAGGAGATGCCAGAAAGCGAGCGGCGGGGGGGGGGGATGTAAGGAAGTGGAGTGGCCTCACTGGCTTTGGCTTTCCTTCTGCTCATCAAGATACGATAATCATGAAGTAATATACAGCTCTTCACATAGATGCATACAGTGTTCCCCACTCCTGTTTCAAAGAGACACTTAATCACATCAGGTATATCTGACATTTCCAAAAGTAAGATTCTTCCCCCATATTAATGTGGGGAACGGTGCAAGAGAAGTCTTTATTACGAGGCAGGCCTAGGTGGCCAATTAAACTAAGCTCATAGAAACGATACGCCCTTTGGTGTAAGAAAACAGATGTTTCAGGTGGGTGTCTTGTAGAAAGCCAGTTGGTCATGTAAAGACTGCAGTCTTAACACTCATTTTCCTAGAATGAAGCTCTGATTGACCAGATATTTCATATTTCTGGGGAATCCATATGGTTTTCAAAAATATTATAGCACATTTTAGGTTTTTCTCCTTTGGTTCAGTGCATTTGAAAGGCCATGGAGAACATCATGTGTGAATGCACACTAAGAATCTGGATATTTTTAAAAGTCTGAGGAGGTGACAGCAGAGAGCAGCATGCTGGCCAAGAAAAAAAAAGTTTTAACATGGGAGTTTTCTCAGCGGTTTCATCAATCTTGTTGCTGGCATAAAATCAAGTGTTAGTCTTGAGTGAGATTGGCCACAGCTTTGGTGAAAAAAGAAGTGCCAGAAGTAAAATAGTAGCTGAGGGTCCAAAGGAGGGAGGCAAGGGAGAGGGAAGACCTGTGTGCACTGGGCAACCTTGATGGCTTGTTTCTTTTCCCCTGCAGTTCAGTCACTTGGCCGTCTGGGGAAGCATGTTCCTGTGGCTCATCTTCTTCGGGGTCTACTCTACCATCTGGCCCATCATTCCTATTGCACCAGACATGCTCGGGCAGGTGAGTCATTTGGTGGGAAGTAACAAAGAGCCTCATGGTCACAGGACCAAAAGCTGTTTTAAGCGTGGCGTTTAAATAAACCCCTGGATTGGTTGATCTTAAGGAAGATCTACTGAGAGCTTATTTTCGTTTAAAATATTCTCAAGAGTGGAACATGTTGCATTTAAAAAAAAAAAAGCATAAAATGTAAACACTGGGGCTTTAATCCAAATTTGCCATAGGTTTTCTCCATTTAACTGTTGGGGAAATGTAGCTTTTCTATGGCTGGGATCGCACAAGAAACTAAATAATGGTTAACAAAAACCCATTTTATGGTTTAACATGATGGCTTGGTTTCCATGATGCTATTTCTCATTTTCATGTGGTGTAGTGTGTTGTGTGAATCCAGCCTATAAGTGATAGAAAACAACACTGCAGATAATGTATTTACTAAAGTTGCCACAAAACTCAGTGAAAGCAATATTAACCATTGATTGTGTCTGCATAGGAATATGCTCAATCACTCCTCCCAGGGAACTGGCTAAATAAATCACAGAAATTCATTCCTTGGTTGTTTAGGAAGCTAGGAAGTCTGGCTTGTTCACTTTTTAATAAGCCAGAGTTGGAAGGCAATTACAAACAATAGAAAGAGTCACTTCCTACCTCCTAGCAAGAAGAGGAATGTTTGAGCAACGTGTGCCAGCATGCTGGTCATTCACGATAGACCTGGAGTTTTTAGAATATGGGTTTAGCGTGATATGTAAATTATTAAATTAGTTTTCCTTAATTGCAGTAAGCAATATTTTGGTGGCTAGAGGGTTGCATTTAACATTCGAGGAGATGACCAGAGCTGATGGGGTGAGGAATAGGTGGAGATGGGATTTCCCTTTCTTTCTTTTAAGTTAGCTAGGGGTTTTCTTGCTTTTTAAACCTTTATTTTATGGTTTACACTTACCTTTTCATTGGTTTCCCACTCCAATACCATGCCACTGATTTTTGGTAATCTTGATCAATGGGATGCCAGAGTCTACAGCAAAGGCGCTAAAAGACCACACGCGACCTTTGGAACACAGTTGCCCACTCTTGAAATGATGAATTAAAACTGCCTACATTTGGGTAGAACTGAAAAAAATGGTTTTGCTGGTAGGAAAGCTTACTTTCAGAATGTGCTGCTTCGTGAGACTTCTTCTCCACCAGTGGTGTCTCCCATTTGCCATTTAATAAGTACTGAGAATTGTGTTACATGTTCTGTCACAGGTGTTTTTTACTTGAGTAAATATTTATAGCTTTAATAATCATCAATAAATTGAAAAGAAATCAAAACAAATAAAAAACCAAACCCCAAGGTAAAATGCTTATGAGTCCTTCTTTATTATATATTTAAAGTACAGTGGTACCTCGGGTTATGAATGCCTCTGTTAACGAACTTTTCGGGTTACGACCAGCTCCGGCCGCAAAAATTTACCTCGGTTTGCGAACTCCGCCTCGGGGTACGGACAGGATACGCGGCCATTTCCCCTCCCGTGACATGGTCCGTGGCCATTTTTCCGCCCCGATACGTGGTCCGTGGCCATTTTTCCACCTCAATACGTTGTCCGCGGCCATTTTCCACCCCTGACACGTGGTCCGTGGCCATTTTTCCGCCCCTGACACGTGGTCCGTGGCCATTTTCCGCCCCTGACACGTGGTCGTTGGGGGGGGGACTCTGCCTCCAAGCAATAGCCTCCTC